GCTATGACTGTAATACAAATAGCACCCCCCCTCCTCCTCTTTCTTTTATTTTAAGGAGGTGAAGGGAATTGCAGGGCTTGTTAGTCAAATTTATGACTTTGGTTTATATGTCAGTAAGTGCTGTGGTGGTGTTGAGCCGTCTTATTTCTTTATCAGAAGTAGAAAGGAGAGGCTAATTGGTCCAGTGCTGGTGATGTGAGCCATCAATTAGTGTTCTGCCTGCCCTCCAGCTCCCTCGTCTCCCTCCTTCCCAAAACAGACCCCTTGAAGCTGCTGCATTAGGATCACAAAACCTGCTATAAATACCAATGTTCAGTGTAAATGAAGCTAAAAAGCTTCAAATTCAAGCCACACTGGATAAGGGCGGACTCTTCTACCTGTATTTCATGGCTTGTTAGGGGAGCTCTCTGCAGGTATGCCAACAGTGCTCGCCTGACAGGCTTCTACAGAACTAAAAACAGTCTTAATGAGGAGAGAGAAAATGCCTGTGTGTGTGTGTGTGTTTCAGAGGTTGTGCAAAGAAAAATATAGAAGTTGCTGCATTTCCCTCAGGGATTTCAAAAATCTTTAATTTGCCTTTTATGACACCTAATTAGTTATTCTACTCAAAATCTTTGCTTTAAATAAGAGAACTAATTATACAAAAAGGTCGTTCCTCCACCTCCGGAGGGCTACTCGTAATTGGTCGGGACCACCACCACTCGCAACACTTCCCTTAAACATATCGCGTGTGTTTTACATCACATTTGAAAAGGCCAAAGCTTAACCCATCATGGAGTTACTGTGTGCTGCTCAACACTTTTTTTTTTCTTTTTTTTTTTAAATAAAACGCTTCTCGGCATCATTAAGGTGACAACACAGACTGTTTCTTCATGTCACCGAGGGTTCTCTGTTTCTTTATGCAGATGTCCCGGTCCTTAGGCCTAACTAAGAAAGACACCTCAGCAGAGGAACACCAAATGTCTGCCAAGAAACCAATATGCCTCTTCCTTGCAGCAACACTGGGGAGGGGGAAAGAAAAAAAACCCCCCAAAAACACAAGTTTGATGTCTTCTACCAAAGCAGCCTCCGGAAAACGGCTTTAATAGTAGTGTAGCAAGCAGTAGCTAAAACCTACTAAACAAAGAGCGGTGACAGAAAAAAAAATGATTGTGTAAAGTAAATGTCTTTTCAATTCCCTTAATGCCATGAGACATTTTCTTGCACCTGTCACCACTCCCGGCGCTCTGTGAAACGGTGGAGTAGAACAGACCCTCCAAAGCTTGCCACCTCCCAGAAAGAAAAGCTGCATTATGAAAGGAAGCAGCAGACTAGGAGGCAGCCTCCACTTAATCCAATCCATTTAACAGATACAAGTGCCACTGACCTTCCAGTGTCATTTGATGTTACCAAAAGCATGCCTCTCCACATCACGATTCATTCTCCAACAAGGGATGCATTTTACCCCTCAAAGTGGAGAGACAGCACTTGGCCTGCCAAATATCCTTCCTGAGGAGAAATTTAATTTGCCATTAGCACTGTGTGAAAATGCCTGTCATCTCCCTCTTTTTCCTCCCCTTTAAAGATTGTATCTTTCAGGAATATGTACAGTTAGTTTTACTCAAGCCAAGCAGTCTGTCAAAGCATGTATTTCCCATTATAGATAGCATCCGATTTCTGTTACCCCATTTACACTTCCATCTGTAGAGCTATCAACAAAATCACATCAGTCCACTAACCTTTCTGATATATTTAAGGTTTTAAAAGAAAACACGCTGGATGGAGCACTCAAGGAAATACAGGGGAGGAAAATGGAAAAATACAATTATCACACAGACATGGGGAAACCTGTAAAAAAAAAAAAAAAAAAAAAAAAAAAAAACCTACAATTTGCCCCAAACTCCCTTTCCCCTCCCCATCATTACCATTAAAGTGTTGGTTGCTATTTTAAAACATGAGGCAGGTGCTTGAATGGTATTCCGCATACACTAATTCATACGAATCCCGGAGCCACCATCAGCTATGCTGTGTCATTTCATGCAGACTAAAAGGAAGACTGGTTAGTCTTGTATCAGCTTCTGTGGGCGTAAAGGTGTGGGAATGATAATATTAGTCTGAATAATCACCCGCTAAAATCAGCACTGTTTCTTCTTATGTTAAATTTACAATGAAAGAAAAAGAAAACTTGACAGTAAATGTTTATTCACTAAAGAACTAAACTGATTTCATATCAGAAATATCAATAAAACAATATAATTTTTATGTTGATTAGCCAGTTGTCTCATTTGATAGGGAAACGAACTCACAAATTCACCCCTTCACTAGTCAACTGCTGTGCATGCACACACACCCACACCCACACACTCCCAGTGGAACAGCTGCTCTCACAGGCACTCAACCTTTAATGGCAGAAAGGACAGTTACATCTGCTTCTCTGTTTGTTAAATGTCTTTTGATCAATTAAAAGCTCTGACGCCATGGTGCGATGCAGACTTTGCTGGTTCACGGGGAGGTAAAGGATCTTGATGAGACTCGCTCAGCCTTCCTGACACATGGGGAGGGAGGTGGTCTTTCAAGGAAGTGGAAGCTGGCCCTGGGTGGGCCTCTTCTTGGGGGCCCCTATAATTCCAACTCCCAGCTGCACTAAATAAGAACGCGTTAGCCACCAGCGTGGTGAATACACAGAGCGCGATGCTCGGGGAAATTAGATACTGTATTAGCAAATGATTGCATTTATCTGGAACAAGCGCATGTGTCATTATCCCCACCACCACCACCCTCTCCTTTATTCAAACCACTCCTGCACAAGACATCGGGCCGGATATTAACCGAGTCTTTAAACTGCTGCATGAAGTTACAAATGATGCTGAGCTCAAATAACTCGAAAAAGTGAAGAATAGTAGAAAAAAAATCCAAACTTACTGTGCTGATTTTGGTCTAGTTCTTTATCCAAGTGTTTTGTGCTTCAGCCATGTTGTGGCCTTGGCATTGGAAAATAAAATTTGTCCCTGGGCCAAGGTGTCTGCCACTGAGGTTAATAGGCATCTCATGCAGATGTCTTGCTATTGTGCGCATAAATCAGCCCCTTTTCATTCAGCTTCCATCATTGCTGTAATTGAGTCCGTAGACGTGTTTTTATATCTCCGAGACAAAATACAAGACATCTGGTAATAATATCAGCTGGAATAGACATGTCAGTCGAAAGCAGAGTGATGAGTGCATTCTGAATGATAAACAAAATAAAGAACACTGAATCATGTGCCTATCGTTAGCTGGCGCATATGCAAGGAGCAAAAGAAGAGATATGCATGAACACGTGCATATGCTCTCTCGAATTAGGCCCA